GTTCATTGGCAAGGAACAACATCATGTAGAACAATGTGAAAAGTATGTCTGTGTGCATTGATTTAGGATAGCAATATTCACGGTGAAAATGGAAAGTACCGCCATGTGCCAATGGTAGATGGGGAGGTTATTCATGATAAGGCTAGAAAGCATTGCCATATGGCTGGTGGAGTGAGCAATTTGAAATGTACCAAGTGTGCTGATAAGTGTGTGCTAGGGAAGTATGAATCCAAATGGTGTGTAGTTATTTCAGGATTTTTTTTCTTCTGCTGAGCTTTGAATACAGTGTTGCCTTTACTGAAGTGAGTAATATGCTAGAAGTATGCCAGCATGTTAATTGTGGAATTTCCTGAAAAGTGTTAGAGGTGTGTGTAGTCACTTGCTGCTACGTGACAGCATGTATAGGAGAGCAAATCCAACTAGACCAGGTTGACAGCAGTTGGTAGTGGACATGGAACAAGAAATGCTGCCAAGTTTTGGGATGATCTGCAGTCCTGGTGTGCAGATTAGAGAGCAAAAATGTAATTGACGGGTACAAGATGCTAGGTCGTGAGACCTGTTGTAACATCAGATGTTCTAATAATGTAGATGTGTGGTGCTGTTAGGGCAGTTTGCAGGGCATGTCATAAGCTGCCAATGGTTTTGTGGTTTGAAGATTCTAGTTAATTTAAATGTGGTCACTCATCTAGTCATTTTATTCAGAGCATTTGGATTGGAATTTGAGATCCAGTATGAAAGAGTGCCAATAAGATTTAAGTTAGGAATGGGGCATGGCAGATTAGTGTAATAGTTCGTCCCCTCTGAAATCCTGATGTACATCCTCATTCTATTGCAAGTAATAGAAATGAGACATTTTCATTTTTACTTCTGTGGAAGTACTTGATTAGATTACTCTATTTGTCAGTACTTGGGAGACAGCATGGGACTTGCATGGTTGCTGTACTTTGCAACTGAAGTGCATTGGCAGCAATATATGAGTGTTAAGGAGGAGGATTAGAATAGCAGAGGTTGCTGCAGATTAAGCATGAGGTGCATTGGCAGAGCTGGTGGAAGCCCAGAACTAGAAGAGCAGAAGGTGGTTTTTCAGGATTGAGGTGCCTGGGTTGAGTGGCATGGGAAGCTGCAGGACAGTCTTGAAGTGCTTTGACAGAGTGGAGGGTGAAGGAGAGACTGGAATTGTAAGGAGTACTGTAACATCACCATGGATGCACAGGGGTAGAGAGCACCATGAGTTGCTAGTGGAAGCCAGAAGTAGAAAAGCCTGAGATGTGGCAGGTCTGCATAGAAATACGTTAACAAAGCCATGCTGGGGGCTTAAAACTAGAATTGAGGTGCCTCTTCAAGCTGAAATAGCAGAGGGTGCTGCATTGCAGGAGGTGCTTTGGCAGAACTGCCAATGGGCGAACCTTGGAGTAGAATAGTGGAGGAGTTGTTGCAGGATAGGAGTGAGGTACAGAGCTGCATGTGTGGGGGAGCTTGTATCACTCCTGACTACTGTTGCCAGTGCTAACTGAGGATCATCAGGTTAAAAAACCTAATAAAAAAGAGAGAAAGGAAGAGACGCAATTGTCTCTTCGCTCCCCATTGATTTAATGCCTACAGGAGGCAAATTGAGGGCAGAGCAAATGGAGGCTTCTAAATAGTCTGCATTCAAGATTGAGATCTCTTTGGACACTGCTGTCTTAGCTTTGGCACACCATGGAGACTGTAGGATGTGGACCACGAAGAGCTGGGGAGGAGGAGATGTACTATTCTCTCAGTGGCTTGCAAGGGCCAAGTATTAGTGGCTGCTTTGGAGCACCTGGCTGACTGAGAGGGAGGTGATGCAAGGAAGCTTTTGAGAGAAGAACCGGAAGGCAGGTGTGTGGGAGAACATGGTAATAGGGAACTGTACAGTGCTTACATTGGCACAACCTGATGTTGGTGCCCAGCAGGGATCATTTGCAAACACGGAGCTCTGTAACAGGATTCTAACTAATCCTGTAAGCTGGTATTCGAGTGAGTGTTACTTGCATTCAGCATGAGTTGCACACCTGTTTGAATCATTGCTTCCCATGGTCTTTGCACTGCCTCTTCCTTTCCCCACCTCGCCACCGTGAGTTTGGTATGCCCCTCCCTCTTTGGCTGCTGGTGATGGTTGGTGGAGATGTGCCATTGTCATGGGTGTGGGATGGAGGGGACTCCCATAAGAGGGGATTTTAAGACAGGATGGAGTGATTGAGGGACTGAAGGGGACCTGCATCCTTCATTCCTTCATTTCTGTTTCAGGAGATGAGCATCGTGCCTGCTGAGCCTCCTCAGACCCACTAGCCATGCCAGGGATTGTGGTATTCCGCCGTCGCTGGTCTGTGGGCAGCGATGACCTCGTTTTGCCAGCCATCTTCCTCTTCCTTCTTCACACCACCTGGTAAGTGACAAGCACAGATGATCAGGAGAAGGTTGCTCTGCAGCAATTCATGCCTTCCTTTTGCTACTCCCATCTCCATGGCTGGAGTTCCCTCTAGGTCCCCTGTGTAGAGCAGGAAGGTTATGTTGGACACTTAGGACTGGCACCAGATTGTTCTCAACTTCTGGTCCCTCTCCCTTTCCCTGTTCTTTGGATCACTGCTACTCCGAGTCCTTGTCCCATTTTCACAGGGGAAGCCTTTGTTAGTAGCTTCCTGCCTGTAACTCCCTCGTATAACTCCACCCTTTATCCTGAGTAGTCTATTGACATTTGGGGAGGTGCTTTTTTAGAGGGACCCAAAGTACAGTGCTTTGAGTGTGATGCCTCTGTTATGGCCCCTGGGATAGCTCATAACCGCCAAATAGATGCAGGCTACTGAGGTGGTGAGATCTGGGCAGCTTGTCTCCCGACAGCTGAGAAAGAGAATTCAAGACCAAATTAATATAATAAGGCTTTGCAGGTTAGTAGTAGAACTAGCAGGAAATGGACAGGCCATCTAGGATTTCTTTTTTTATTCCTAAGGATAAGAAAACTGACTGTGAGGAGACTAGCTGAGGGAATCTTACCAGATGCTGGGCTGCTTTGCTTGGTGTTGCCACTGGTAAATAGTTGGCTTGTGCATGGCAGGTTTGTGATCCTTTCCGTGGTGCTCTTCGGGCTGGCGTACAATCCCAACGAGACCTGTTCCCTTAACCTGGTGGACCACGGCAGAGGCTACCTGGGCATCCTGCTCAGCTGCATGATCGCAGAGGTGGCAATCATCTGGCTCAGCATGCGCGGCAGCATCCTGTACACAGAGCCCCGGGACTCGATGCAGTATGTGCTCTATGTCAGACTGGGTAAGAGGCAGCAGCACAGGGCCTTCTAACTACTTACCCTCCACGCTGACATCTGTCACTCTCAGAAGAGTATTCCTTCCTGAACCCTGACAAATACACCCCCCGCCCCCAGAGACATGTGTCTAGCCACTCTTCTTTGAGTTATGGAGCTCTTCTGGAATGGACACACAGCCCCCTGCCTTCCCATACATACCTGCACCCACCCCCCCAAACACCCTCCCAGCGTACCTTTCTTTCATCCCTCTCTCCCTGTGACATCTTGTACACCCCCACCCTGCCACAAATACATTCATCCTTCTTCCTCCAATACAGTTGTACACCTCCCTTGTGACACATTTACACGTCTGCCCCCTCCTTTTCCACAAGATTTCCCATGACACAAATATATGCCTCAGTACAACATCAGCATGCCCACCCCAAAGCATGCACATGCCTTTCCCTGTCATACAAGTCCCTGTCATACGCTAAGTACACCCAGCCTTCACCCACCTACCTCAAGATGTCACTTCTAGGCCATCTCTCAATACACCTATCCATCCACTAGTGTGCAGGATAGATAACCCGCCTCCATATAGATAACTATATACATTGGATGCCTACATGCCTCCCCTCCTGCTGAGATGTGTGTTACATCTCTTTTCCTCCTACAACCTTTCCCCCAGCACTCCCAATCGAAACTCCTCAAAATCGTACCAGAAAGGGGAACAGATCCTGGTCTCCTATGCAGGGTTTCTCACTCTGGCCTAAGATATGGAAATACATTTAGGCCACCACCTCTGCTCCCTGGGGGAAGTATTTTTGTAAGAGCCTGGTGGGGAAGTCTTTTGGATAGACAGGGAATCGTGCTTATTTTAAACATGAGGGCAGGGCCTCTTGTTGCCTATTCTTGTTTCGTTGGCTTCTCTCCCCTTAGGATTTACCAGAAGCCCAGCATCCTCTCTTGAAAGCTCTCTCCATATGGGAAGCAGTTCCATCTTTGCTGAGTGCCAAGTGCAATCCATTAACGAGCAAAGCAAACAAATCTTCTTCTCTAAATTTCTCCCCAACATTGTAGAATCTCCCACGGGAAAGGAGTAGAGCCTGACATTTCGACACACTGTTTTAAATCTAGGTTGAGTAGAAGGGGCAGGAAAAGAGAGAAACCAAGTGAGAGATCTCCCCTCCATCCCATCCGTCTGCAAAGTCATCAAGCCCTTTAATACCATGCACATATTAGGGAGCTGTTTTGAAACTGAGTCTTAGGCCTGGGTGTGCTTTATTCCTCACATTTCTCACTGTTGCTACCACAATTTCATCATTTATTCTGGTATTAGCAGTGTGAATATTACCACTAATGTAGTCAAGGTCTCCAATAAACACATGCTGTTAGTCCAGCCCTGAGACTTCAGAAATCTTATCTATAGGGATGTAAAATCCCAGTTAATTAGTTAACCTAACATTTAACCAGTTAACCTAATGTTTAACTGATTAATTGATTAAGTGGGATCTCGCTGCTCCAGCCCCCTAGCCTGCTGGGCTCCCGTTCCCAGCCCCGCGTTGGGTCTGTCTGCTGGACGCGTTGGGTCCCAGCCCCACACTTCGGCTGGGGCTGTCTCTGCTGGTTCCCAGCTGGGCTGGAGCAATCCCCTGGGCAGCTCCCCAGCACACGCCTGGGATGCCATGAACAGGCATTGCTCTGGATGCTTGAAGCAGACCCTGACTGTGATGCACAAGGTCCCTGTCCACGGTGATCCCCCACAGGTTAACTGGAACCGGGAAGCAGCACCCGTTAAGGGTGGTGCTTACCCGTTTACTGCTTAATCTTTCACATTCCTAATACTAACACTCCTGTGGGTGAAGCTTATGTGATGATAGAAATGGCAGGAATTTGGGTGGGGGCGGGGAGAACCGGTGTACACAAGGCCTACTGAACAGTTTTTAAAAGTACCACTGGCTGGCCAAATAGCACGAGAAGCTGTTTGCTGGAACCATTTAAACCAGGGTCAGTAAGATGATGCAGGCCCATGGTTGCCAGTGCCCTAGATCTGAGAGGAGTGTGAGTGCCTGACAGGCCTACAGTTGTTTGAAGAAATAGGATTGCCAGATGGTTTAACCAAAAATATCAAACACTCTCCCCCCCACCCCCCCAAAAAAAAACCACCGGGGAAAAAATTCTGTTGCCAAAAAAAAGGGGAGACCAAAGGTTTTGAGCAAAAAAAAAAGGACCCCGAGAGTTGTTAAGCTTATTTTTTTAAAAAAAAACAAAACAGCATGACCTCTTTAAGAAATGCTTTTGAGACTCTTGGGCCATCTTGTCTTTCTGCTGCAGGCCAGAAATCTCCCCTGCAGAACCAGGTAAGCACCTGGGATTTTCACCTGCTGGCCGGGAAAAAATCAGAAAATACCGGACATTTTAGGTATCTGGTATTTTCTGAATTTTTTTACCAGACAGGAGGTGGAAATACAGTAATTCCTCATTTAGCACTATAGGTATGTTTCAGAAAATGATCGTGTTAAGTGAAAACGTGTTATGCGGGATCAATTTTCCCATTGAAAAGAATGGAAAAGGTGAGGGTTGCGTTTCAAGCGGTGGTGTCTGTTGGGACCGGGACATAAGGTTGAGGAAGAAAGGGGACTGGGTTACAGCAGGGAGGGGAGGTGTTTGGCTCTGGGGAAAGGAAGGGAAGGAGAAGGGAGGGGGATTGGGTTGGGAGTATGCTCCTATGATGGGTCTGCCAGGACCCACACTGCGTCCAGCGAGCGGGGGTCACTGGGGAACGGCGTGGCAAGTGGCAAACCCTCCACCGCTTTGCAGGGAGGTGGGGGAAGCCCTGCGCAGCCGCCAGCAATGGGCCGGCTGGGGAAACCCAGTCGCCGGCCTGCAAGCGGGGGCGGAGGAGAGGGGGCAAGGTGTCTGGTGAGGGGGAGTCAGCGGGGAATGGCGCTGCGAGCAGCGAACTCTCCGCCGCTTTGCAGGGAGGCGAGGGAAGCCCTGCACAGCCATCAGCGATGGGCCGGCTGGGGAAATTGTGTTATTCCAGGGACAGTCGTGTGTAATTCAAAAAACGTTCCCTAAAAAGAAAAACGTGCTATCATGAAAACGTGTTAAGCGGGCATGTGTTAAATGAGGAATTACTGGACTGGACTGTCCGGGTCAATACCGGACACCTAGCAACCCTACGAAGAAACAGCAGAACAGTTCCCGGGGCAGATGCCTGTATCTCAGCTGAAAGAAATGGTTCCAGTGGCTGAGATGTACCAAGGAGTAAGGAAAGTGGTAGTTGAAGTGCTCATGAAAGACAGAGGATTCTGGCCTTAAAGAAGTGTCAGCCTATGACTAGAACATATCTTGAGTCTGCCAGAACATTCCCTGTCTCCTGAAGCTGCCAGAGTTGAGGGGAGAGGTATAATACCTATCCCAAGTCTGATAGGGTATGTCTACATTACCCCGCTAGTTCGAACTAGCGGGGTAATGTAGACATACCCTATCAGACTTGGGATAGGTATTATACCTCTCCCCTCAACTCTGGCAGCTTCAGGAGACAGGGAATGTTCTGGCAGACTCAAGATATGTTCTAGTCATAGGCTGACACTTCTTTAAGGCCAGAATCCTCTGTCTTTCATGAGCACTTCAACTACCACTTTCCTTACTCCTTGGTACATCTCAGCCACTGGAACCATTTCTTTCAGCTGAGATACAGGCATCTGCCCCGGGAACTGTTCTGCTGTTTCTTCGTAGGGTTGCTAGGTGTCCGGTATTGACCCGGACAGTCCAGTCCAGTAATTCCTCATTTAACACATGCCCGCTTAACACGTTTTCATGATAGCACGATTTTCTTTTTAGGGAACGTCAAGGGAGAGAAGCACTCCATATTCTCTCTCAAGTCTGCCAAAGCTAGCCAGGAACAAGCCTCACCTTTACACATATATCCCCCTGGGCTTGCTAGAGCCAGTGGAAAATTACCCCTGCCCTGTATGCCCCTTTCTGAACCTGCCAGAAGCAGGAGGGATCCTTTGTGTGCTGAGACTGCCAAGATTGGGGGCTTAACATCCTTTGCCACTCCTCACATGCTGGGAGTCTGCTGAAGCCAGTGGCTAAGAAGCTAGGATTAGAACTTGGAAGACCTGGCTTCAGTTCCCTGCTGTACCACAAACTTCCTGGTGTGGCAAGTCACTTAGATTCTCTGAACCTCAGTTCCCCAACTGTACAATGGGGATAATAGAATTTCCCTGACGATTGTGAGGCGCCTAAAATAGATACATTCCCTTCCACACACACCAGATTTGCCAAAATGTACAAGGTGGGATTAATCCACAATACACAAACCCTCCTCAATTTTGCCTGAGGGATTTAACCTCTCCTTTCCAAATCAGGCGGGGGGTATATCATGGTGAGGCAGGTGCTTGTTACACAGTGGTACATTGCATTGGGAGAGTCTGTGTGCATTGTAGGCTAAGTGGGGTATGAATCATGCCTGTGATGCCATCCTTGGTGTTGCAACTGTGTGTAACTATAGCCAGGGAATAATATAGGGGTAGAGACTGTTGAAGAGCTAGTGGATCTCTGTACTCATTCCTTCAGGATCCTAAAGCATTGTGGCCAGAACAGCAAGGTAATCCATTCTGTGCTGCTCTCAGCACAGTCTATCCTAGTGGGGCATGAGCCAGCCACTGGTTACAGTTCATTCAACATTAGGAACAAGGATTTCTCTCTTGGCTTGAGGCTGCTGATGTGAAATGCAGGTGGGGTGGCAGAGACAAGGCTAGGAGCATGCCTATCTTCCTGGGGAGAAGCAGTGCTTAGCTGTTAGAAATTTGCTCCTATTGTGCTCTGTGTTCCTATTGTTTCAGCCATCCTGGTGATCGAGTTTGTGTATGCAATTGTGGGCATTGTGTGGTTAACACAGTACTATTCCTCCTGCAATGACCTCACTGCCAAGAGTGTCACCTTGGGTACGTATTTGGGTGTCCTGAATATTGTGCTCAGTGCATTTATGTGCTCCTGTGCCTGTAGAGGGTGCCCCTGACTGTGGGGTTATTCCATGTATGAGGAAGTACCCCTGGGAATGGAGGAAGTACCCCTGGGAATGGAGGAAGTACCCCTGGGAACGGGGGAAGTACAGTCGATGTGAATGTGGTGCTTGCTGTCTGGCTATATTACTGCACAGAGCAGGTGTTGTATTCACACTGTTTAGCTGTCTCCAGAGAGACAGAAATCTAAATTTCCAGCATTAGGTTGGGTGGGTGAATTTGAAGGACTTTGTCCTTTACTATTTGCTCTTCAGAGAGTTAACTATCTAGATTTCCTTTCAGGATCTGAGCTAGTCTTATTGGGCTCCTGACACGCTCTGGAATCCTTCTAGATACTGAATAGATATTTAAGTGCCCCCCTCTACATAGGTAACCTCTGAACAAGAATCTTGAGGCTGGAGAACCCATCTACGCTCAGAGACCCTCCCAAAGGAGTTCTCTGCAAGAGTGAGCAGGTTAATGCCGTCCTATTGCTCTCTTTGTAGAAGTGGGGAGATGGATTGGTGTGCACACAAGAGATTAGGGTGGATGAACCATTGCTGTGGTTTCAGGTCAGACCCCCGACTTTCCCCCTCTTCTCTCTCTGCAGGAATGGTCGTCTGCAACTGGGTCGTCATTCTGAGTGTCTGCATCACTGTCCTGTGTGTCTTTGACCCAACAGGACGGACCTTTGTTAAACTGCGAGCCACAAAGAGAAGACAGCGCAACCTGAGGACATACAACCTGCGGTAAGGAAGCAGGGCGCAGCTCTCCAGAAAGAGGAGGTCTGGAAGTCCATATTGATCTGTCCAACTCTTGGCACTTCCCCATCCTCCCTCCGGGGGCTCTCCAGTGCCGGCAACAGGGCATTTCTCTGTTGAGCATCATTTCCAAAGATGCTCCAGGATATTCGTATTGTGTACCACATGTACATCAGTGTATGTGTCTGAAGGGAGAGTTTTGATTGGATCCATGTAGGCTAGGAATTTTTCTGTCCCTGGGGAGCCCTGTTGCTGCCATGTAGAGTATCTTATACTGCTCATTCTTTTGCATGGCTGTTTGCCCTTCTACAGTTCTGCCGCACTGATGCTCTACTTAAGGTTGAGACAGCCTCTTCATTCGAAGCCCCTTTCTTTGCTCATTCTTTGTCTTTTTTCAGCATATTCCCCTCTGCTATATTTTGTCTCAGCCCAGAAGCAATTACTTTTGTGTTGGCAGTTAGACATTATAATTAAGAAACCATTGTGCCATTTGTGAGTAGCCCAAAATAGGAGCGAGGATTTCTTTTTTCATCACATAAGAATGTTTTTTTATATGCTGGACAGCACAAATTGGCCTGTCGTGTGGAAATGTATATAGCCCTTGGTGAGGAATGTAGCTTTGCCAGTTGAGGCTATTTGCTTTTGCATATGCAAAGGTGTGGCCATTTGAAAATGGCTTGGAAGTCATGTGTTTCAAATCAAGAAGATACAGTGAGAAATGGTCCTCCAAACATTCGCTCCAACTTTGACTTGAAAAGGAATCGTTCGAATGCTGTTCACATTTTGGGAAAGACCCTTGGACTGCTAAGGAGCCATACAGCAAGGACATGTACCCTTTAAGGACTTGGTATCTTTTTCAGCAGGGAGCTCCTTCCTTACCATTTAACATGTCACTTGCATCAGTTCTGGATCTTTGGGGCTATTCAGTACCCTGTTAGTCTATTTTGCATGCTTCAGGGTGCTACATTGAAGTGAGGACAGGCCCTGGTAGATCAGGATGCATCCCGCAGACCATGTGCATAAATCCCAGCAAGTTTGAACAGGTCTTCCTCCTCCTGAGAGAGAGAGAGGGAAACTGAGCATTCTGCAGTCTGACAGGTTCCATTTATCTGAGATCTTAAAATTCACTGTTCTGTGGGTATTAAAGACTCCAGGGCACCGTTGGGTCAGAGTATGGCTTTGTCTCAGTGTCCTTGACCTCTCCTTCCCCTATTCTTATGCAGTGTGTTATGCACCTGACGTTTACAACCTACCCAGACACGGCTGAATTTCAGGGGTGATTGGTACATGTAACTAGAGATCTGCTGGGATATAATGTTATATGGAAATATAAAATGCTATAACATATGTATTATTATTATTTTAACAATAGCCCCCGATGGGTTTATTTTTAAATTATCTTCTGGTCTTGAGACTAATCCTGCAAGGTGCTGGGCACTGTCAGTTCTCACTGAGACTAAAGGGAATTAAGGGCACTCTCCGTCTTGCAAGATCAAGCCTCTAGTCCTCGGTGGCAAGTACTTGTGACATGTAGGAATCAATGTGATCTTTGTAAATGCGTTTATAACTTTAGGGTTTTTTTCACTTTCTCAGCCCATAACAGAGCCTGCCAAGATGACAGATTTCCTTTGGATTTATTTGTTACTTTAGGACAGTTCATTTTTGGTGGCTTCCTTTCTGTGGTACTCAGCTATTATTATTAGTTTCTCTGTTGTGTTACATGGCTATTTTCATGCTCACAGAAAGGTCAGCTCATTATGTTCAGACTTACCTGACAAATTCACCTTTAGGCTAAGAGTAAACACTTGAAAGTTCAGCCCGAATGACTGCTCCCTTCCCATGTCCCTCCACTCTCCCGTTAGACCAGTTGTGAAGTCCTTGACATTGATGGAGGAGGTAAAAATTCTGCTACCTGTATTCCGTAGCTTTTCAGGGAGCTCATGATTATCTCTAGGCCTGTTACATTACAGGGCTAACTCCATTTTAAAACAACTGTATTCTTGTTCATCTTTTGGAATCTTAGTTGCAAGTTATTGGCTGCTTTTTAACTCTTTACATATCCACTTTCTGGCTCTATACGTTGTATTGTTTGACTGGGACCCATGTAGTTACTGGAGCCACCTAACCTACCAAAATCTTTTCCCCAAAAGCAACCCACTGTACTCAAGTGCTTTTCCCTCAGGATCCTTTGCCTGAAGAGCAGGGTTGAAGTGACCTGTTTCTAATCACTCCAAAGCACATTAATTCTTAATTCATCTGTGCTGGCATCAACAGAGCGAGTAGCTGCTTAGGGATACCAAGGGATGATCTCTGAAGTAAAGAATCAAAGACACTACCATCTCTGGTAGTGATGTAAAATCCCGGTTAATCAGTTAACAGATTAAATGTTACATCAACCTAAGGTTTAACCGGTTAATCTTTCACATCCCTAATCTCCAGCCTTAAAGTGAGATGAATTTCACTTTGCTTGATCTAAGCCTCTTTGCTGTGCATGTTCCTCAATCAAAAACGGGGAAGGAAGTTGTCACAAAATATTGCCTCCAATGGCCAGTGACACCTGCGGTTGAGTTGAGTGCCACTGTGATGTATTGTAAAATCCATTTGTGTAAGGGGCCAACTTGTCTCATAGAGGTAAAAGTTCTCTCCTTGAGAACAGCAGTAAATCCTAAGGGTGGCACTTCATCTGATTGGAATAACAGATACTTGGTGGGGTAACTTGCTTGATTGGAGCACTCCCACAGAGGGGTATAAACTGTTCAGGAAGGACAGGTAGGGGAGAAAAAGTGGAGGAGTTGCACTGTATGTAAAAGCAGTACGACTGCTCACAGCTCTAGTATAAAGTGGGAGAAACGCCTGTTAAGAGTCTTTGGGTTAAGTTTAGAGGTGAGAGCAATAAGAGTGATATTGTCGTGGGTGCCTGCCATAGACCACCAGACCACGAGGCGTTCTTTAGACAACCAACAGAAGTTTCCAGGTCACAGGCCCTGGTTCTCTTTGGGGACTTCAGTCATCCTGACATCTGCTGGGAGAGCAATGCAGCAGTGCACAGACAATCCGGGAAGTTTTTGGAGAGTACTGAGGAAAACTTCCTGTCACTGCCGCTGGAGGAACCAGTTGGGGTCATGCTCCTCTTGACCTGCTGGTCACAAGCAGGGAAGAATTTGTAGAGAAGTTGAAGTAGGTGGCAGCCTGTGCAGCAGTGGCCATGAGATGACTAAGTTTAGGATCCTGACAAAAGAAAGGAGAGCAGCAGAATACGGACCCTTGACCTCAGAAAAGCAAAATTTGACCCAGGAATCTGATGGGAAGGATTCCCTGGGAGGCTAATATGAGGGGGAAAGAACCCCCAGAGAGCTGGCTATATTTTAAAGACGTCTTACTGAGGGCACAGGAACAAACTGTCCCAATGTGCAGAAAGAATAGCAAATATGGCAGGTGACCAGCTTGGCTGAATAGAGAAATCTTAAACGTAAAAAGGAAGCTTACAAGAAGTGGAAACTTGAACAAATGACGAGGAAAACGTGTAAAAACATTTCTCAGGCATGCAGGGGTGTAATCAGGAAGGCCAAAGTACAATTGGAGTTGTAGCTAGAAAGGTATGTGAAGGATAACAAGCAGAGTTTCTACAGTGATGTCAACAGCAAGAAGATCATGGAAAGTGTAGGAACCTTACTGAATGGGGAAGGCAATTTAGTGACAGATAATGTGGAAAAAGCTGAAGATCTTGATGCTTTTTTTGCTGTCTTCACAGACAAGATCAGCTCCCAGACTGCTACACTGGGCTGCACATTCTGGGAAGGAGGTGAGCAGCCCTCAGTAGTGAAAGAACAGGTTAAGGACTATTTAGAAAAGCTGGACACGCAAAAGGCTGGATCTAATGCATCTGAGGCTGCTGAGGGAGTTGGCTGATATGATTGTGGAGCCACTGGCCATTATCTTTGAAAACTCTTGGCGAGTGGGGAAGGCTCAAACAATTGGAAAAAGGGAAATATCGTGCCCATCTTTAAAGGGAAGGAGGAGATCTGGGGAATTACTAATTGGTCAGCATCACCTGAGTACCTGGAAAAACCATGGAGCAGATTCTCAAGGAATCCATTTTGAAACACTTGGGCTGTGTCTACATTGGCACCCCTTTCCGGAAAAGGGATGTTAATGTAGACTTCGGAATTGCAAATTCCACGGGGGATTTAAATATCCCCCGCGGCATTTGCATTTACATGGAATAAGAGATCCTCCGGAAAGTAGGAATAAGAAAGTAGGAATAAGAAAGTAGGAATAAGACCAAGGCTGTGTCTACACTGGCACCCCTTTCCGGAAAAGGGATGCTAATGTAGACTTCGGAATTGCAAATTCCACGGGGGATTTAAATATCCCCCGCGGCATTTGCCTTTACATGGCTGCCGCTTTTTTCCGGCTTGGGGATAAGCCGTAGAAAAGCAGCAGTCTAGACGTGATTCTCCGGAAAATAAGCCCTTTTCCGGAGGATCTCTTATTCCTACTTTCTTATTCCTACTTTCCGGAGGATCTCTTATTCCATGTAAATGCAAATGCCGCGGGGGATATTTAAATCCCCCGTGGAATTTGCAATTCCGAAGTCTACATTAGCATCCCTTTTCCGGAAAGGGGTGCCAGTGTAGACACAGCCTTGGAGGGGAGGAAGGTGATCTGTAACAATCAGCATGAGTTCACTAAGGGCAAGTCATGCCTGACCAACCTGATTACCTTGTATGATGAGATAACTGGTTCTGTGGTTATGGGGAAAGCAGTGGATATGATATACCTTGACTTAAGCAAAGCTTTTGATATGGTCTCCCATAGTATTCTTGCCAGCAAGTTAAAGAAGTATGTCTGGAATGAATAGACTATACAGTGGTTAGAAAGCTGGCTAGATCGTTGGGCTCAGTGAGTAGTGATCAATGGCTCTATGTCTAGTTGGCAGCTGGTATCAAGTGGAATGTCCCGGGGTTGGTCCTGGGGATGATTTTGTTCAATATCTTCATTAAAGATTTGGATGATGGGTTGGTTTGCACCCTCAGCAAGTTTGTGGATGACACTAAGCTAGGGGCCGAGGTAGATATTCTGGGGGATAGGGGTAGGAGCCAAGCTGACCTAGACGAATTGGAGGATTGGGTGAAAAGAAATCTAACGAGGTTCAACAAGGACAAGTGCAGAGTCCTGCACTTAGGATGAAAGAATCCTGACCACTGCTACAGGCTGGGGACCAACTGGCTAAGCAGCAGTTGCGCAGAAAAATCCCTGGGGATTACAGTAGATGAGAAGCTGGATATGAATCAACAGTGTGCCCTTGTAGCCAAGAAAGCTAATGGCATATTGGGATGCATTAGTAGGAACATTGCCAGCAGATTGAGGGAAGTGATGATTCCTCTCTATTTGGCTCTGGTTGGGCCACGTGGCGGGGTGCCTAGCCCCGCACAGTTTGTCCCTGGGGTCGAGTCTTTACACCCGGGCCCAGAGGCCAAGTCCTATTACCCACACAGGCCCAGAGACCTAGTCCTTTCCCCCGATTTACTCTTTGTCTGGGATCTGGGAAGGAGAGGTAGGGGGGCCTGAGCCCTCCCTCTCCACCGGGCCACCACCCAGGGCCCTATCAGCGGTGGGTGGTTCCCACCACTGGCTCAGCGGGGAGTTTGCCCCAAAACGCGCCAAGCCAGCCGGGGCTTTTCCTGCTCCCTGCTCTGGGTTGTCTCCTACCCCTTCCCCATGGCCGATGGAGGCCCCAGCTGTAGACGGGTTTCTGGCTGTGACAACGGCATTGGCAGGCACGGCAACTGGTACTGCAGCAGTGGGGGCAGCGACGGCGGATAGGTGGGCTGTGCGGCATAGTCGGCGTTGCGGTCGCGCTCAGGCCGGGGTCTGTAGCTGCTTAGGCGGCTGTTCCGGCGGTTCTTGCTCCAGCAGCAGAGACTCTGGCATCCGTGGTCAGGTAGGAGCTCCTTCCCCGCCGGAGGTCAGCCCCGACCGAGCTGTCTCCCTGGCCTTTGTACCTGGCCCGCAGTTGAAGCATGCACTGCTGCGGGGGTGGGGCCTTCCCTGTCCAGCAGGCCCATTTGCTCCCCCCTTGGTCAGTGCAGGGCTGGACCGCCCTGTCACAGGCCACATTTGGAATATTGCATCCAGTTTTGCGCCCTCCGCTACAGAAAGGATGTGGAAAAATTGCCCTCCGCTGGACTCTGTCCCGTGAAAATTATTAGGGGCCTAGGACACGTGACTTATGAGCAAAGGCTGAGGAAACTAATCTTATTTAGTCTTCAGAACAGAAGAATGATGGGGGATTTGATAGCAGGTCCAAGGAGTATGGAGCCAGGCTGTTCTCAGTGGGGGCAGATGACAGAACAAGAAGTTGCAGTGGGGAAGATCTGAGTTGAATATTAGGAAAAGCTATTTTGCTAGGAGGGTGGTGAAGCACTGCAGTTTGTTGCCTACGAAGGAGATGGAATCTCCATTCTTAGAGGGTTTTAAGTCCTGGCTTGACAAAGCCCTGGTTGGGATGATTGAGTTGGGGTTGGTCCTGCTTTGAGCAGGGGGTTGGACCTGATGACCTCCTGAGGTCTCTTCCAACCCTAATCTTTATGATCTGCACACAGATATCTCAAGGTTCCTCTCCGAGCTCTAAAGAATGAGATGTCCTTGCACATTCTGCTTCTAGCAGACCATGGAACATTAATGTCCTCATTACAGCCATCCTAATCAGGAAAAGGTCATCACGTATGTGAATTTAGCACTGATCAGACAAGTCAGAACTTTTCACAAATATCTCCCCCTCCCTCTCAACACACAGAATGCTGCCTCATAAACCATCTCCCATGCTCTGTGTATGTTTCTCTATATACAGCATGGGCGAGATACTCATTTCCAGAGCAGTGTATAGGAGCCTTAGTGAAAATGAGAATTTGGTCCGGTATGTATATTATCCCAGACCACATAGTCTATGTGGTTTGTACACTACGTCCTAGTGCTTGTCTCTGTATTCTTTTTGCTGTTGTATTTGCTCCTGCCCCTCTGCTATGCAACTGCTTTTCCTTTGTGCATATGCATTCTTTGTTTCCATGGTGCAGGCACCGCCTTGAGGAGGGACAAGCTAGCAGCTGGACTCGCCGACTCAAAGTTTTCCTTTGCTGCACACGGACAAAGGACTCCCAGTCAGTAAGTACCAAATAGCTCTGTGTCAAAGGGCAGACTTCAGGCCTAGCCCGTCTTGCACAAGAATAGCTCTCTAGGAATCCCTGAGATGGAGCATGCAACTAGCTGGGAAGAGGGAGAGGAGGGAAGTGGCACTCTTACCTAGTTGGGATTTAGGTGCATTAAGTGTAGTGGGAGAGGAATACAAGGGAAATGCCTCTCTAGGAGCAGCAAAGTGAACTGCTCTCAAAGTAGGTGGGTGCAAAGGCTTACAGCAGTGTTTCCCAATTTTATTTGGCTACAGAACCCTTCTAAATGTGAAAGAATTTTGCGGAACCCCTAATAGTCTTATATATGTAGCTGAAAAAGTAGACCACAAATATGTAATGATAGTAATAAACAAATGCTAAACAAGGTCATGAGATCAACATTTAGTTTAATTGCACATATTTAAAAACATTATTATTTCTTTTAATCATAAAATGTTATTGTAATGGAATTTTCTTGCGGAACCCTTATTTTCACTTCGTGGAACCCCGCAGTTCTGTGGAAACACTGGCTTACAGTATAAGCCTCCTTTGACTTGCAGGTTTCCTGGATGAGACTGGCTGATTGTCAGGAATAGAAATGATAAGAGAATCTAGAGGATAGGTTTGGAAGGTGATCACTTGGGTCACTGAGTCCAGTCCCTGTATGGCACAGAAGAACTATGTATATCTGTTATAATTATATGCTGAAAGACAAGTCCCCAGAGAGGGTGATGGTCTTTTAAAGGTGGATAGCATTTTTACCCATCTGATCCTGGAAATTATAGTCATGGGTCCAGGAGTAACCGTAGGGGGCATACTCTTATTTTATACAGCTCTGTCCCATCTGGAGTTCACTGTTGTAATATCCAGTTGTTGCCCATCATCTCGTGCCCTGCATGTGAGTGAGCCATGCCCAACAGTTGGCAAAATGTTAGTATAACATAACGTCTCGATGAATATAATTTGGGAGGGAGAGTCCAAAACAGCTTGAGCAGCGGTAAGTCATGTCTGTCTGAGCTGCTGGGATTCTTTGCAAGGGCTTACTGAATAATAGTTAAGGTGGAAATACTTGATATAGTTCATTTAGACTTTGAAGAGGCCTTTGAAGAAATTCCCTCATAAGAGGTTATGGGTAGGGAAATTTATTAGTTCCTAGGGACACTTCTGCCTGAAGCTTTTCACATATATCTCCTAATATTTCTCTAAATGAAGATTAGAGAAAAAACCCTTTTTTATTGTGTTTACTTTCTGCATTTGATGGAACTTTGTGTATAGGCAGCTTTACTGCTTCCTCTTCATTAACACTTCCTCTTCATTAACACAGTTTCCCCAGTTGTTTGTGAGAGCTTTTCAAACACCTGTAGGGGGGACAGAGAGAGACATCTTAAAAATAAGAAAATACAAACCCACTAAAATTGGCAAATCTCTTTTGGGCAGATGGAGTGCCTAAAACTACTGCTAAATACCATGATCTGTGTCAAATTAAGATGGCTTACAAACTGAAGTAGGAGACCTCAATGTGGAAAGTTTAATAATGTAGATCCGTGGTTTTCAACCTTTTCTCATTTGTGGATCCCTACAGTTTTTTGAATGGAGAGGTGAACATCTTTGGAAATCTTAGACATAATCTGCAGGCCTCCAGTAATCTGCAGACCACAGGTTGGAAACCACTGCTATAGATAGTTCCCCCATAGATCTGGCCTAATGGCTTAATCCTGGCTCCCCAAGGAAGTCAGCGGAGGCTTTTGTATTGACTTCACTGGGAGCAGATTCATGTGCTAGATTTGGTGATTACTGGATTTATTAATGGTCTGCTGTAGAAGTGAACAGTGTTTTGCCGAGGATATAGTAATAATTAGGTTAGTTAAAACTATGGAGCATTTGTGAGGAACTCCTGAAGGACCAGACAGAACAAGGGAATTGTTTCGAAGGCAGATGAAAGTCATAGATGATAAAGCCAAGCTAATACACATTGCAATGAACAGTTTAAATTACTTGCACACACGGAGGGGTTCTAAATTAGCTATAACCTGTAGGCAAAGATCTTGAAGTTATCAAGGACAACTCAACACAACCGTGGCCAAAAGTCAGGAAAGATTTTTGGTTGCATTAGATAGAAAGAGAGAACAGTATGGAAAAGCTCTCAGAGCATTCTATAAATCAGTGTCTCAGAGGAGTAGCCATGTTAGTCTGTAACTTTAAAAACAGTGAGTAGTCCTGTGGCACCTTAGAGCCAAACACACAAATATACAGGATCATGGGCTTTCATGGGTAAAACCCACTCATCTGATGAAGTGGGTTTTACTTATGAAAGCTCATGATCTTATATATTTTTGTTAGTCTATAAATCAATGGCACATCTGCACAAATTACAACTTGCAATTTTGGCCGCCTCATATCAGAAAAAAGACTCAGGAAAGGGTCAGAAATGGTACTGAGAGAAAAGTTGGGCTGTGAATGAAAGACTGGGATTCTTTAGCCTGGAAAGAAGTTGGGTTGAAGAGCAAAAATATCATCTATTTGCAAGATCCTCAGGTCTGCAGAGAGTCACTTGGGTCTTGGGTAGTGTCCTTCAGCAACTCTGGGATCCTCCTGCTCAGTCCTCTCTTCCTTGCAGTGCTTTCATCCATGCTTTGTCAAGGGCTCCGCTTTTAACAGCTCCAAAGTCCTTAGTTCTCCAGTGTCAGTGCAGAATGGGGGCCTCGGCATAGACTGAGGTAGCCTTAAAGGGCTTGGCATCTGTATTGTCCCCTCAAGTACTGGTTAACGGGGGATACCAAGAACCATTGTCTGTCTGCCTGCAGATCTATAAAACTACCCAGCATTTACTTAACTCATTGAAATGAACATGATGGAAATCGGATAACAGTTATTAAAATAATACAGCTATCTCCCCCGTTTTTCACAGTAGGGGACAGAAAGGATTGGGAGTCTGTCTGGCTTCAATTTAGTAGAGATGATCACAGGACTACAAGCTAGAGAATGGTAGGAGAAATATGGGGGATATTTTTACTAAAATGAATTTTTCAGATTAAATCCGTGATAAAGAAGATGGCTGGCCTGAGGTTAAGGCACTGGCCTGGGACACACACTTTCTCTGTGCCACAGTTCCTCATCTGTAAAATGGGGCAAATAATGCTTCCTTCTTTTCCTTTTGGTCTGTCTTGTCTATTTTCAGTGTAGGGACTGTCTCTTAATATTCATATGTACAGCTCCTGGCACAGCATAGCTCTGATGTCAAGTGAGGCCTTGAGATGGTTCAGAAATATGAATAATACATATTAATAATAATTAGACCAGAGACTTTTTCCCATGAGGTCCCCTGGAGAATGTTTTCTAAAGAGCGCCCTGAGAATGAGGCCATTCCTACCATACCGAGTCCCACTCATTCTCCTTTCCTCTTCCTTAATCCTCCCCTCTGTCTGGATTCTTCAGGATGCGTACTCTGAAATCGCTTACCTTTTTGCTGAGTTTTTCCGAGACCTTGACATAGTTCCATCTGACATCATTGCGGGCCTGGTCCTCCTGCGTCAGCGGCAGAGGGCAAAGCGCAACGCAGTGCTAGACGAGGTGAGTGCTTGGAGTGCTTTAGGGTTGCACTGTCCCAGTGGAGGCTTTGACACTGTGTGTATCTTGCTCATTTCCACCTGTTCCTTTTACCTGCCTCAGTGTGAGAACCCCATGTCTCTGCTCACTTGGTTTCAGTTGTATGTTGGGTTGTTACCACTCTCTGGGTAAATCAAAATTAATAATACTTAGTTCTTCTGCAGCACCTTTATCTGTGGCTCCTGAAATGCTTTCCATACAAGGATTGGTCCTGGTTTTGGCTCAGGTTCTGTTCAATATCTTCATAAATGATTTGGAAAGTACACGTGGGCAAATCTACACTGCGGCTCTATATCAGTGCAGCTGTACCACTGTAGTGCGTCAGATGAAGATGCGCTGTGCAGACAAGAAAGTGCTCTCCCATTGGCATAATTTCTCCACCTTGACAAGAAGTGGAAGTTCTTTCATCAGGACAGCATCTTCCACTGTCATAGCACTTTTATGGACAAGTCTTGTGGGGTTAGGACTTTTTCATACCCCAGAGCAATGTAAATTACATCGACTTAGGCTGTTGTGTAGACCTGCCCTAATAGAGTTTGAGGGCAGCACCAGACTGGGAGGGGTTACAAGCACTTCGGGGCAGGACCAGAATTCAAAATGATCTTGACAAACTGGAGAAATGTTCTGAAATAAATAGGGTGAAATTCAATTGGGAAAAATGCAAAGTTATTATACTTATGAAAGTATAATCAATTGCACAAATACAACAAGGGAAATGACTGCCTAAGAAGGAGTACTACAGAAAAGGATCTGGGGTTTATAGTGGATCATACATTAAACATGAGCCCGCAATGCAATGCAAAAAAAGTGAACATTGTTCTGGGATGTATTAGCAGGAGTGTTATAAGCAAGGCAGAACAAGTAATTCTCTGCTTAACACTGGTAAGGATTCTACTGGAGTACTGGGCCCAGTTCTAGGCAACACGCTTTGGGAAAGATGTGGACAAATTGAAGGAAGTCCAGAGGAGAGCAACAAAAATGATTCAAGATCTAGAAAATATGACCTACAAGGAAAGATTGAAGAAATGTATTTGTTTAGAGAAGACTGAGGGGGGGGGAGGACATAAGTCTTCAAATATGTAAAAACTTGTTATAAAAAAGAGTATGCTAAATTGTTCTCTTTAACCAGTAAGGACAGGACCAGAAGTAATGGGCTTAAATTGCATCAAGAAAGATTTAATTTAGACATTAGGAAACCCTTTCTGTCAGCGTAGTTAAGCTCTAGAACTAATTACCCAGGGACCTTGTGGAATCTCCCTCATTTTAAAGAAAAGGTTAGAGAAACACCTGTCAGGGATCATCTAGATCAGGGGTGGACAAAAGGTCTCTGCGGGCTGGATCCGGCCCGTCATACGGATTGATCTAGCCCTTAGAGACCCTGCTGTTCCCCTGCCCCCAGGCCAATCAGTGTTTGGGGGTGGGGGGAGTGCATGAAGTTTCCTCTGCCCTGTTAGGAGTGCGTGGCACTTCCAACCGCCTTGCACTCCTGGCTGGGTAGGGACAGGGCGGAGGAGCACGCAAAGTTTCCTCTGCACTTGCCCCTGCACTGCAAGGCGCGCACGGCGCTTGGGAGCGCCTAGAAGCACCGTGTGCTCCTGGCAGGGTGGGAGGAGACTGTGCATGTTTCCCCGCCCCTAAGCCCTGCTTGGCCTGCGGGGTAGAAGGGAGAGCGCGCAAAGTCTCTTCCCACCCAAGGGGCATGGGCGCCTAGAGCAGGGATGGCCAACCCATTTAACAGAGGGTATGTCTACACTACAAAGTTAGTTCGAACTAACGGATGTTAGTTCGAACTAACTTTCATAGGCGCTACTCTAGCGTTCCGTTAGTTCGAATTTAATTCGAACTAACGGAGCGCTTAGTTCGAACTAGGAAAACCTCATTTTACGAGGATTAAGCCTAGTTCGAACTAGCTAGTTCGAATTAAGGGGTGTATAGCCCCTTAATTCGAACTAGTGGGAGGCTAGCCCTCCCCAGGTTTCCCTGGTGGCCACTCTGGCCAACACCAGGGAAACTCGTCTGCCCCCCTCCTGGCCCCGAACCCCTTAAAGGGGCACGGGCTGGCTATGGTGCCCGTGCCAGGTGCAAGCCTGCCAGCACCCAGCCAGCAGACCTTGCCCCTGGCACGGATCGAGCCACCCACCCGATGCCCCCAAGCCCTCCCCCTCTTCCCGGGACCAGGCTGGCGGCTCCTGGGAGCTTGCCCGGGACCGGAAGAGGCGGGCACCCGCCTGGGCTAGTGCAGACATCGTGGACCTCGTCCACGATCTCCGCACTAGGCACAGGAAAGTGGCCGTCTAGGGCAGGAGAGCTGCCAGCCTGGCCACCCAGGAGCAGGTGTGCAAGAGAATCAAGGGGGTCCAGTGAGCCCCCCGACCCTGAGCCCTGAGCTTACAATGGCCGTCCTGGGTCAGCCCAAAGGTCCATCTAGCCGAGTAGCCTGTCTGCCGACAGCGGCCAACCCTAGGGACCCTGGAGGGGATGGACCGAAGACAGTGACCAAGCCATTTGTCTTGTGCCATCCCTCTCCAGCCTTCCACAAACCTTGGGCAGGGACACCACTCCTACCCCCTGGCTAATAGCACTCCATGGACCCAACCTCCATGACTTGATCTCACGTCCCTTTAAACTCTGTTCTAGTTCTAGCCTTAACAGCCTCCTGCAGCAAGGAGTTCCACAGGTTGACTCTTTGCTTTGTGAAGAACAACTTTCTGTTACTAGTTTGAAGCCTGCTACCCATTCCTTTCCTTTGGTGTCCTCTAGTCCTTCTTTATGGGAACTAATGAAGAACTTTCCTGTATGCACCCTCTCCACCCCACTCATGCTTTTAGAGACCTCTATCCTGTCCCCCCTCTGTCTCCTCTTTTCTAAGCTGAAAAGTCCCAGTCTCTTTAGCCTCTCTTCATATGGGACCTGTTCCCAACCCCTGATCATTTTAGTTGCCCTCCTCTCTCCCAGCCTCTCTCTTCCCCTCTCCCACCTCCTTTTCCTAGTCTCCCCCAGTTTTGTTCAATAAAGACAGATTCCATTTTAGAAGACACGTTATCTTTATTTTGTACATCAGGAAGAGGGGCTAGGGAAGGGTAAGTAGAAGGAGGTGAGGGAGGAATGGGGCACGAGCCCCCGATGGGGAGGACTGGGCTGGCTCTGCGGGCTTCTGGGGGTGGAAGCTCTCCTGCAGCCCCCCAATTGCCCCCTCTCCCCAGCTGGCAGCCTGCGGCAAGTGCAGCCAGGCTGATGGCCGAGTGGTGTGATGTGCCCAGTGTGGGTAGTCAGGGCACTCCAAGCCAGGACTGCTTTGCAAGCGGGGCACCCCTGAGAACTGTCTGTCCGGGGTGGGGGTCGGGACCCTTTAAGCACAGCCCTCGGCTAGCCTGAGAAAGCATCTCCACGCTCTAAGTTCTTCTCTGATGCCCTGCTGGCACTGCTTCCAGCCATCCTTAAGCCCGGTTCAGGGTCCATTTAATGTGGACATGCTAGTTCGAATTAGCAAAACGCTAATTCGAACTAGTTTTTTAGTCTGGATCCGTTAGTTCAAATTAACGTTGTAGTGTAGACATACCCAAAGAGAGCTGAAACAGCAGTGGAAAAAATGCGAAGAGCCACACCAGAATCATCAAGCAACCCCCCCCCTTCCTCCCCTCTCCCCCAAAAAATGAGGCTGCCCTTTTAAGGAGCAAGAAAGCTTAGGCTTTTTGACCACATGAGGCTCCCATCGACAGCTGCCATCTTGGGCGCCATTTTGAATCGCCGACCTGGGAGGGGGCCGGGGGCTGTTGGGGGGGGTTCAGGAGCGGCTTCACAAGCTGTACTTTTTTGGGGGAAGAGCCGTGTGTGGCTCGTGAGCCGCGGGTTGGCCACGGCTGGCCTAAAGGGAACCTCAGGCAGGGTGGTGGGGGGAGCAAAGACTTCATGTGCTCCACCACCCCCAGACCAGTCATGGTCTATGAGTGGGGAAGCAGGGAAGTATCTTGGCCCCGCCCTTTCTGCTTGAGGCTCCGCCCCTTCCGATGCAGCCCGGGGCTATTTCAAAAATTTCTGAAGTGGTCCTTGGCAAAAAAATTATTTCTCACCCCTGCTCTAGATAATACTTAATCCTGCCTCACTGACGGTTTCTGGACTAGATGACCTATTGAGGTCTCTTTTTGGGCATGTCTGAGAGATTCAAAATCAGGATAACAGAGATCAGACGGGGTGGGAATTGGAACAGAAATGAGCTCAGAGAACTGACTAGATGGTAAGGAAAATATCTCAACTTCTGCAAGTTGTGTTGGCACAGAACAATGGGAACTTGCCTTCTCTTATGCATAGCCATTCTGTCTTTGTGCTGGAGGGAACTCATCCCAATGTCTGTGTGATTTACAGGCAAACAATGACATCTTGGCCTTTCTGTCTGGAATGCCAGTGACTAGGAACACTAAGTACCTGGATCTGAAAAACTCGGTAAGTCACCAGCCCATGAACTCACCGGCTCTGTGCAGAGCTGTAAAACAAACAACAAACTGACTGTCTTTTCATAGTTCCTGTCCCTTTCTCTCTCAGTTGGTGCTTGCTATTTCATTTATTTCTTTGTCTCACATAATCGAGGAAATTAAAGATGAACAATACTGTTAGATGATGATGTAGTAGTCAGAAGGCACTGGCGTGGTGTCCTGACTGGTCTCTTGCTCTGTCAGTGGTGATAACCATTCGGCTGCATGTATGTTCGCGTGCTTCCTCTAGGTCGCGCTGGCTTTGCGCAAGTAGACAACACAGCACACTCTGAGAGAGTCCCCAATGACCACAGAATCAGATAAGATACGGAGATACCCGAGTCAGGTTTATTGTAAACAAAGCACAGTAATAGTTTCCCCAGATGAGATGCCTACAGGTAAGTTAAGAATGTGTGCCCGTGCAATGAATGTGGCTCATTCAGTAGCATGGAATTCACTGCTGCTCCATAGGCTGGACAAGGAGTTAAGTGTGTGTATCATAGTTTGTCTCAGTCTATAAATGTTGGAGTAAACATTTATAGACTGAGACAAACAATCTATGATACACACCATAGGTATCATCTTAGGCGTTAATGACATGTTGTTACCTCCCCTTTTACTTTTCTCCTGATATTTCAGACAAAGCATTCCCATCTACCACCTGTTACTGTGCTTCCACTCCTGAGCATTCAGACAAAATATCGCTATTCATCACCTTTGTCAAACTATTTTATCGTGTGTTATGTGGGGGTAACTTTGTACAGCCCTGATGGAATGTGTTTTAGCAGTGCTAGCAGCACCAATGCTGAGTTCCTTTCCCGGACGCTGAATTGCAGACAAACATTTGCTTTTGACATGGCCTGTCTGTTACTAATAGTATAACTCTTGCTCACTTTGATTCAGGCTTCAGGTCTTATACCAGGCCCATGCTTCAAGTTTGTTCTTCTGCTGCAGATGATAGTAGCAATGCTTAAAGCTTTTGCCTGGATCTTTCAAAACTTTAAAGCATTATCCTCACCATGTCCCTATGAAGTATACGATGATACAATTCCACATGGAGGAGAAAGAACAATTAAGTGACTTGTCCAAGGCCACTAGTGAGGAGTCAGTGACACAGACAGGGTATTAATGCAGGAGTTTCATGCGGAAGTGCTGCCAGTATAGATCATGATGGGTTTTATCTTGATTTGAACAAAAGGCCACTGACATCAAGATGAGCATTGCATGGTGGAGTCAGTAGTCTCTGCAGGCTGCAGTTATTGAAGGTGAAATTGACTGAGAGCTGTCCCATTTTGTACAAATTCAGTTTAGCTTTTGGTCTCGTGGCATGTTGCCATTGCAGCCCTAGATTGTAGCAAAATTGCTGAGACAGAGGACTCAATCCTGGTCTTTTCTGATCAAGTGATTCTGTAATTGATCTGTCTGTGGACCTTTCTACTCCACTGTGTTCCACTGTATCTTCAGCCTGCCCCCCTTTTTAGACAGGTGGGGAATTGCCTATGTGTCTCCCTTCATAGGTAGGCCCTGATCCACACATGCTCCGAGGCACCTGGCCCCAGGCTAAAAGCATGGCTCTACAATTCCATCTCTGTGAATCTCTGTGACCATCCGTGGCTCTGTGGGAACAATATGTTGAAGCGATCCTGTTACTGACAAATAATAATCTAGTGTCTTCTCTCCTCAGTTAGGACAGTGCAGAGCACTCTGGGTTTGTGTGGACAGGGACTGGCATTGCGATCCCCCACTGTCATGGAGCTAAGATCACTGTGGGTTCCCTTCCCTTGCAAAGGCTGGATAGTTTGCTAAAGTGCTTTGGGAATATCTGTAGAGCTAATTCTTAACTTTATTAAACATTTATGGGTGAGAGCCTCAGCTGGTGTTAATTTGGGTAGCCCGGTTGATTTACTCCAGTGACGGGTTTGACCCAGGATTACCACCGTGCTCGCCACAAAGCAACTGATGATGTGTTGGGGAGGGCTAACATAAAATAGAGAGCTCAAAAGGAAACACGGATGCATGTCTCTAACACATAATCGGGAGCTCTTGGTGGGGAGAGTACTGGAAAAAGGAGTCAAGGTGAGGCGCACACCACCAAGAGAATATGAAAGGCACTTAATCTCTCTTGTCTCTTTCAGCAAGAGATGCTGCGGTACAAAGAGGTCTGTTATTATATGCTGTTTGCCTTAGCTGCCTATGGCTGGCCCATGTACCTGATGAGGAAACCCACCTGTGGACTCTGTCGCCTGGCCAGATCCTGCTCGTGAGTGGCCATTCCTGGTTCTCCCCCTGCCTTCACTTTCTTTCTCACTCCCCGTTTTGCCTCCTCTCTCCCTTTCTCGTTTTTCCCTTCTTTTTCCTTTTCTTTATGCATCTCCTCCTTATTGCTCTTTTTCCTTCTCTCAGTCTCCAGTCCTTCTCTTCTTCTCACTTTCACCATTCTTTCCCATTCTTTTTGGTCCCTTGCTCCCCACTGTTTATCTGTCCTCCCTATTTAATTCCCCATTCTGTGTGTCTGCGTGCTCTCTCTGACATACTAAAGACCTTGCCAAACCTGTGTGCTTCATATCGCCAGCATGGGGAATTGGCTAAGACGATATCCACTGAGGCAGAATTGCCGTCCTATAGCTCTGGGAAGCACAGAAATGCAAGCAGCTGACATTTGGTGTCAATGAGGCTTGGGCAGGATCAGTGTTCCTTGCTTTCTGGGATTTATTTCCAATGCTAGGAGTAGCGCAGTCACCTCCAGGTAACAGCACTGTAGTTAAAGTGAGGTGGCACTTTCATTTGCAACATTTTCCAGTTTTAGTTGCTTGGAACTTTCTCATTGCTTCTTTTTTGGAGGGGCGAAGGGTGGGCTGACAACCTCATGTGTAGTCTCAGTCCAGAAGCTGTTTTGATTTTTAGGAATGTTTCTAATAAGAGTCTGGCAATTTTTGAGTCATCCGTGCATGAGGAGTCATCTGTAGGG